TAACCAACTCAATTCATTTGGTGCTGTTCCTTTCTTTGAAAACTATTAATTCTGGAGATTTGATCAAAACAGACTTGAAAATATAGCATGCAAATTGCAAATATCAGGGAATCTGGAATTCACATTTTCTAGACTGAAGTAACTTGCTGGCAAGGTTTTCTGTCTTGCACCTACCACTCCTAACTTTGAATTTTATTCTCCCCTGGGTTCCCTCTCTCCCAGTTTATTTCCAGCACATATGCATGTGCACCCATGCGTATACAGATATGCATATTTGCATGCACACATATTTTTTTAACTCTGTGTTAATAAGTAAAATAGGCCAGCATTAGTCAGGCTGGGCATCAGGACTGTCTGGTTTATGTCTAAACTGCTTGGGAGATCTGTGGTAATAAGTGAGTGACAGCAGGTGCAGATTTAGTTACAGCCTTCTGAACTCGGCCTATAGTTTTTTCTTTGATTCTTTTCACCTAACACTCTTGCTTGAATTGTGTCCAATAAATTTTAATAGCTACATGATCCTGTTTCAGAGCTGAAGAGAGAGGTTTTTCTCTCACCTTGGCTAAATGGTGCCTAACTCAAAATATTATTTCCCACCCCCTCCTCATTCCTTTAGAAGTAATAAGAAATAAACCCCAGGCCATAAGCTGCTGGATCCAATATCTTCAGTTTTGCATGTAAAGAGCAAATTTTCTGGTTCCATTTTAAAGAAGCCAGGAATTAACTTGCAAAGAATTAGCCATAATTGGGGAGACAATAATTACTTGACTTTTTCTGCCCTATGATACTGAAACTACTGGCAAATCTTTCACAGCAGTGTTGACACCCACTTCTATTTAAAACAAAGTATTGCTCCAGGCGCCTTGAAAACTATATCTGAATGTTCTCTGTGATGCATTTTGGTGTTAAGCTACCCTGTATGCCGGCATTGAATTATTTCATGTCTTTTTAGTCCCCAGGCAGTGAGACATTTTATATCATATTTGAAGATGTGAATGGCTTTTGCAGGTGTCGGATATGTTTGAGGGCCCTGCATGCAAACTTAGGTTAAAGCCTGGGCCAGATCAAGGCTCTTTCAAGGAATAAACTGTGGTCTGTATGAAGAATTATTTCTGATAAGGTCCCCTTATTTAATATTTTTTTTTTATTTTGGAATTTTGCCCAGCTTCTCCTGGATTGTTTTTTTATCTCTTAGTCCACAATGTCATGGAAAGGAGGTGGTGGACTTTGTCCACTTGTTTTTGGATATTGGTAATGTACCTCAGTACCCTCAGAGTACAACGACTGTCGTGCATTCCCATTAATTCAAATGCCACTGATGAGTTACTAATCTGGATATTAGTCCTATACCTCTCTCCTCTTATCCTTAAATGTGAATCTGATATTACTTTACTATTTGAAATTGTCATTAGCATCCCATTCCTGTAGGAAGTGAGTTTTAACTCCCTAGTATGGCATTTCAGACTCACTGTGTTGGAGCTTCTCTCTGACTCTTCACTCTTACCCTCTTCCACTCTCCTGGTAGAAGGGACCAGTCAGCATGGATCCCTTTACTCTCTTTCAACTCTGTATTTTTATTTGTTATTTCTTCTGTTTGTAATGACCTTTTTTGAATTTAAATTTATTTATTCTAATTTGTTATACATAACAGCAGAATGCATTTCAATTCATAGTACACATATAGAGCACAATTTTTCGTTGTATACAAAGTAGAGTCACACCGTTCATGTCTTCATACATGTACTTAGGGTAATGATGTCCATCTTATTCCACCGTCTTTCTTATTCCCATGCTCCATCCCTCCCTCTCCCTCCCCTTTCCACTATCCAAAATTCCTTCATTCCTCCGTGCTCCCCCTGACCCCTATTATGGATCAGCATCCACATATCTGAGAAAACTGTAATGTCTTTTTCTTAATTGGCCTGCCCTTGCCTACTATATTATTGGGCTGTAGTACTAGCATGACTTAACTAGGATTGAATGTCTCTCTCTCTCTCTCTTTTTTTCTGATAGTTCAGGGATAGATGCTTTCCATGAGGTCATTCAGAAGCCCAGATGGGCATTGCAGAGTCATTCTTGGATCTGCAGCAGACTGATTTCAGGAGCCACTTTGAAGGCCAAAATTTGAAGATGCTCAAGTCCCCATACAAAAGTATTTGCATGTAATCTATACAATCTCTGAATAACCTATATTTGCATATTACCTACACCCATTCTTCAGTGTACATTAAATGATCTTTAGATTACTTTTGATACCTAATACAAAATAAATAATATAGAAATAGTTGTTATATTATTTAGGGAATAATGATAAGACAGTATGTCTGTTATCAAATATCTTTGAATGAGTTTGTTAAATCCATGAATGTGGAACCTTAGAATACAGGGGAGAGCCAATTATATTGTGCATAATGTGATATCCTTGAGGGCATGATGGGGCTTTCAACCACAGCTTCCTTGCAGACAGCAAGAAGAAAATAGATGAAGAAGAAACTTACTTTCTCTCTGTAGGGCTGTGACTTGATAAGAAATACATATTTGGTCTCTGTCCCTGGTTTCTGACACAGAGCTCCTAAAACCCTTGAATTGTCTGAATGATAGAGTTTCTAGTATCATCTCTTGGTCTAATATTTGGGTGGTCTCTGCCTTGAGATCATGACACAGAACTCTAAAACCCTCAGGATTTCATGGTCGATAGGAGAATCCTTTTTTTTTTTTTTTTTTTTCCTAATGAGACAAGTCTTTATGGGCTTCTGAATAGCCTCAGTATTGAAGTTACTCACCACAAAGACCAAGCCATGATTAGAATCTTGGAACTTTCATCCCCACCCCCTATCTTTGGGGAAATGAAGATTGAACTAACAATTGATCATGTCCTGATGATGAAGCCTCACTAAGAATCTGTAAGAAATGAAGTTCAGAGAACTTCCAAGTTGGTGAAAGCACTGAGGTGCCAGGAGGGTGGARTACCAGAGAAGGCAGGAAACCTCCATTCTCTTTCTTACTTATCTTGCCTATATATGTCTTCAGCTGGCTCTTCATTTGTATCCATTATAATAAGTCAATAAATGTAAGTTAAGTGTATCCCTAAGTTCTTATTGAAAATTATCAAACCTGAGGTGAGGGTTGTAGGAACCTCATTTTATAGCTGATCATCCAAACAGCCAAGAATTTTTTCCTCTTGGCATTTGAAATGAAAACAGTGTTGTGGGATTGAACCCTTAATCTACAGGGTCTTTCTAAATTCCAAGTAGTTGGTTCAGAATTGAATTGTATGTTATCAGTCTGGTGCCTGGACTCCCCCGTTCCCCCTCCCCACACACACACACACACTTGAGAAAAAAAAAAAAAAAGAGTTTCCCCCTCGCTTAGGCAGACAGTGCAGAAATTATAAGTATGTCTGCCTCTCTAGTTTGTCCCTCCTGTCTACCTTGTGTTCAACCCCTACCTCTGTGTAACAACAGTAACAGCGAAGATAGTAGGGGTGCTGGCCGTAGATGTGCATCTCTAGTAGATGCTATCAGAGTAACAGGGAGAGTAGGAACAGGACAGTGTCAGTGTCATATTTTTCCATTCATAGTTTCAAAAGAAATTGGAAGGCTAAGTGACTTGGCCAAAGTCACATTGCTAGTAAGTAAATGGCRAAGTCCACATTTAACCAGGAACTTTATACTTCAGCCCCCACCACTAGGGTTTCTGTCCAACCTCTCATGACAATTGTTTCTTTAAGTGACTTTCTCTCCCACTGGATTCTGAACTCCTTGGGAAAAGGCACTTTTCCCAGCTGTCTGTTGCTGTAGAGCTCAATATGAAGCCATGAAGGTAGTCAGTAATCAGTTAGGGATTTTATATATTTTCAATGGGGCTTTCTTAACCCTGTTAACATTCTGGGCCAGGTAGTTCTTTGTTGTGGGCTGCCCTGTTGCACATTGAAGGATGTCGAGTACAACTCCTGGCCTCTACCCACTAGGTGCAATAGCAAATCCCTCTGGCTCTAGTCAGACAAATCAAAAATGTCTCCAGATTTTCCATGTGTCCCCGTGGAGACAAAGTTCTCCTAATTAAGAACCACTGATTGAAAGTAAATGAAGGCCAAGGAGCCTGGGCTAGTGTTCATCTACCCAAAGGGCATTTCTAGACATGGTGAGGCTTCTCGACTCCCCAGGATGATGACATGTTTTCCAGCTTGTCTTGTGTCTGGAGCATGGAGCATGGGATATGGGCTCCAGATGCTCGTAGGTTGTCTGCAGCAGGAGCTGCAGTGATCACTGATTGCCAAGCCTCGTGGGGGAATACCAGATAGGGTCCCTCTGGAGGAGACTCTCACTGGGTCATGGAGATTAGCTGTCTGGACTCATACCACCTGGCAAAATCTCATTGCCTTCACCAAAAGTATTCTTTTATAAATTTCTTGGCAAAGCTGGGGCTGCATGCTGTTCCTTATTTCTCTCTCTCTCTCTCTTTTTTTTTTTTTTTTAAATTTCCAAATGTGTCATGGGTGACACATAGAGCCCAGGAAGAACTCTGCTGGAAACCCAAGCCTCTCATTCATTGCCAGCACCATTGTCACGATTTTCCCACTGTCTAAGCCAGTCTCAGCCATGTTACCCATGAGCTGGGCAGTGTTTAGATATCACTTTTATTTCTTCAGAGCTATAGTAACCTGAAAGGAGAAAACTTTATGAGTTATGCTCCAAAGAGACATAACCCTTCTCTGTTAGTGACAGCAAACATGAATTCAAGATCCAGCATGTACTCAATGTGTCATTTTGGACAATGTCTTTAGCTTCTTTAACCTTTGATTGTCTGCAAATTAGAATAACCTACTTCTCCTATCTATCTTCACAGGATTATTATATTAACAGAATAATAATTTATCAAAAGGCTTAGAATCCCTCCTGTGATATACTATCAGTATACTTTTGCACCCAGAGAACTCTACAGCATCATTGTTCATGGGTGCTAGATTGTAAGGCAGATGCTGTCTCTTTTTTTCACAGTTCCTCGGATCTAGAATGTCTTCAGTAAGTACATGGTGAGTGACTGCATGGAGAGAATTGGAAATTACACCCTGTCAACAGTCCATTGCTCCAGCAGGGCCTGGAAAGAGGGGAAGGAGGGTTCTTGTGTGGCATTTATGCTGTTTGTATTTGTGCATAATCATTAAAGTCAATGTTTATTAGGGATCATAAACTCATGTGCCTGCAGATGTAGGACACACTTAGCATTCTGGCATATATGAGACAGGGTGGGGGAGGGACCCAGTGGAATGGGGGGAGGGTAATACCCAGCTGTTTAAGTCTGCTCAGGTTGTTATAATGGAATACCAAAGATGGGGTCAGTTTGTGGATGACAGAAATGTCTTCCTCACAGCCTGGGAGATGGAGAAGCCCAGGGTGCAGGTGCTGGCATGGTTGGTGTCTGAGGTGGCCTGCTTCCTGGTTCATAGATGCTGTCTTTTCTCCATATCCTCACATGGTGGCAGCAGCAAATGAACTCTTTTGTCTGACCCATTTTTAAGAGCATTAATCCCTCATGACTTACTCACCTCTCATAGGCCCCACCTCCAAAAACCATCACAGCAGGGATTAGGTTACAACATAGGAGACACCAGCCTCAAGATGCTCCTGAGGAGTGTTGTGAAGTCTCTGCCTCAGCCAAACAACAACAACAACAAAATGTGTCTTTGGGCTGACTTAAGTCTTTAGGCAACAACACAACTCCTATTTGACAGAGTACCTAGGATAAACACTGGGACAGGAGCTGGGCAGATAAATACTGGGAGCCAGGTTCAAGTAGAGGTGATGGATAGGAAATGAATAGCAAGACAATGAAAAGGGTTAAGATGCACTGAGAGCTCAGCCAGGCTTTGTTCTACCTCCTTCCTAGATGACAACCTGTATTTATCTTCACAAGAGCCCCATGTGGAGCGGGGGATATCATGGCTCTTCTTTTTTAGGTGAGGACAGGAAGACACAAAAGAGGTTGGGTAGCAAGGTTATAAAGCCAGGAGCTGGTTAATAATAAAACATAACATGCTCCTTTGGAGGATAAAAGGAAGCACACAAGTCCCCTTTTAGATGTTGCGGCATCTATTCTTGCCCCGTTCCAGTGCCTCCTGCATACAGCAGCTGGAGTGATCTTGACACGTAGCCCCATCTTGGCACTTACCTGTCCTCCCACTGTTCCTGTAGTAAGGTCCCAAAGCTAACAAGGTCCTGAGCCATCTGGGGCCCACTCTTCACTGACTCTGCCCACTCCCTGGGCYTTGTGCTCAGTTTCACCTGCCCTGGCGGACAAGTTCTTTGCCACTTCGGGTCTTTGTGTTCATTCTTTCCTGTGCCCATGTCTTTCCGTGTGATGCAGGATCTTCCTTAGTCCTCTGCCTCAGCTAGTATGTCACCTCCCCAGAGGCCTTCTCTGCCCATGCTGCCCAAGCATGGCCTCCTGGGTTACTCCCCTCCTTGCCACTTGCTGATTGCCTACGTAGTATATAGATTTGCTTGTCACTTTTGTAATGTCACATGCACCCACTGGAACATGAGTTCTGGACTACAGAGACTTTTCTTCTCCCTGTTGCATTTCATCACYTGAGATAGTGGCTGGCACAAATTAGAGGCATGAGAAATGTTTGTTGGCCAATCGAAACAGCATACGGGTAGATTCAGAGTCAAAGGGTTTTTTTTGCTCATCCGATGTCACATGGGGAAGAAGAGGCTCAGCTGGAATTTAAGTGGATCATGCCAGCATCTTGCTTAGATCCTATCTTATTCTGTGACCCCCAACCTTAGGTTAGGGCTCCCAGTGCTCAGCATGAGCCTAAAACTGGATGCTTGGCCCCTTGGGCACCTCCTGCCTCATCTCTCCCAGCTCTGTGCATCCCCTCCCTGCTGCTTCCCATCTACATTGCCTTCACTGCCCCTCAGTTGTGCCACATTCTGAAACCCTCTGCCCTCCTGCCTCATATGGCAGTCTCTTCATTCTCCCCTAAGTTTCACCTCAGATACTTTCCACCAGCAATCTCTCCTAGGTCCCTGGACTAGAGTATAACCCCCTCAACTGTCCTTTCTTGCATCTATCACATTGGTTACCATGTAGTTATTTTTTGTGATTTACTGTTTAATTTCTGGGTCTTCTACCCATGCCCCTAGAGCCAAAGCATGCTTATTTTATTTGTCTCTTTGGCTGGGTCTGCTGGGTCATAGGCACTAAATCCATATTTGTTGAGGAAAAGGGCAGTGACTGAATGGGTAAGGGTGTGAAGAGTTCCTGAGTCTCCTTTTTGCCATGTCCCTTCTCAGGGAGATTCACCCAGGAAGGGTTGTCCCTGGCATAGGCAGTCTGATGCTGTTTGTAGACCTCTGCCTTTGGAAACTGAGAGAAGCTGAGGAACAGGGGAGCAAGGAGCCTCACATGGAAAGGGAAGCACTTTGGCTCACTGTTCTAAATAGGACTAAATGTAACCCCATAGGGTGATCTTTGTTGACCATTGCCTAAGGCCACTGTCCTTCAAGAGAGGCCAGGAGAAATTGAACAGGAGATAGGCATCTGCAAGTCTGTCTAAACTCTCCCATAACACTGCTCACAGGTCTCACCTTCCTGACCATCCTTGAGGAGAGCTGAGGACGAATGTCAGACATTGCTTTCTGTCTCTGAAGGAGGATCTAGACCTGGGCCATCACACCTTGCAGGCATGCTCTTCCTCGGGCCTATACCCAGACTCCTGTCAGACCTTATGAGGCCCCGCCCTAACAGCTTTCTTCTCCTATAGCTCTTGGGGTGGGGGGAAGGCCTCTGGTGTGCCATTTCCTTGGGAGTCCTGTGTTTTAATGCGGTATGTGTGAAGATGTCCATCACCACAGGTCAAGTGCTCTCCTGCATTGGAGGCAGGGAGACTCTTGACAGATTCAACAAGAAAGGAGACATGTAGGGCAGAGATAAACCCTCTTTTACCTTGATAACATCACCATCTCTGTCACCAGAGAAAAGCTGTCACTACAGGCCAGGCTCTGTGCCGAGTGCAGGGATACCATGTTAGAGTGGCCCATTTTCAGTCCTTGTAAGATGGAGGTGGCTTCAAGCTCATCTCAGTGCTTCTACCTTTCCTAATCGTAGGGCAGGCCCATAAGCCATTGCTTTTCTGGCCAATAGGAGTATCTGAGTGTAGAACTGCCCTGGTTTCTAATCCCACCAACACAAATAACTCATCTAATTCCTTTCTCACTGTGCGTTGATAGGGGCATACAAAAAGGAATTTTTATTATTTGAATTTGTTAGAGGAGTTGGAAGAAAAACTGCCCCTCTTATTATATGGCTCCATGATGTCCTGCACTTTGGGTAGCTGTAAGCCTTTGTGTAATCATGCATTAAATAATGTCTTCTCCTGTTTCATCCTGAATTCAAGAGGGCAAATATCTCTCTTACTTCTTTCTGTGGCCACTGCAGAACAGGCATTCATGTTGATTCTCACTAAGGTCAACATTTGGTGACCTTTGTGTCATTAAATCCAATATTTTTGATTTTCATTTCAATTTCTTATTGTGGAACATTTCAAATGTACACAACAGCAAAGAGAAAAATGTAATGGAATCCTCTGTAGCCATTACATGTTGTAACTGAAAACATCTGCCCTATATCTCACTTCCTAAATGATGGATCTGGTGACTGCTCTTTGRAAGGAGTTCAGGAAATAATGCATATTAACAATGGTGTTATAAATTGTTCAAGTGTAGCTCACTCTGAGACTATGCCTGGACACGCATATGCATATGAAGTGATCGTTCTCATCAACGTTCGGGGGCTAGATATTTGGCTTAAAATGTTCTTGTTTGGAGCTTTTACATACATCTCATTAAAAACATGAATATTTCAGATCTGTTCTCAAGTCAGAGGTATATGAGATTTCAGAGAACTATTTCTAGAAAATGTGAGCCAGGCTACAGTCTAGCAAGAGCCTCATGCAGTGATGTAAAATCTACCCTTCCCAAGTGGCCTCTGCTCAGCCAGGGAGAGATATCAGGGTTATAGGATTGATCATTTAATGTGGAGATTTTCCATAGGTTTGATGCACACATGTCAGGAGAAATCTATAGAACTTGTGTTTGTCAGTGTGACTATTTAAACATGACCAGTTGAAAGGAAGAAATATGATGACTACTAATCATATTTGTTGTTAATGGAGTAGCTGGGAAGGTCAGTGGCTGGCCATGGGGTCTTTCAMCAGTGATGCATCTGTTCTTTACAAGTCTTTAAGTCCAGGGTTATTACCCCTACTTGATATGTGAGAAAATGGAGAGGTTCAGAGAGCTGCCCAAGTCTAGTCACATAGCAAATTATCTCTAGGTCTGCCTCTTTGCAGAGTTCTTCCTCCTTCCCTCACATGGTACAGCATCCTAAAAAAAGTCTGTTTACATGAGAGATAGGTTCCACTGGGAATGTAGTCACTTCCTCCACTATTTCTTTATACAACTCAGGCTGTTCCACACATTCTGCAGTAGTAGCCAGCTCTAAAATTTAGACATGAAGTGTGTGTGTGTGTGTGTGTGTGTGTGTGTGTGTATACACATACATACACACACACACACACACACACATATATATATATATATATACTACACACACACACACACACACACACACACACACACACAGATAACCTTGGTGTTTTTCTGCTTCTGATTTGGAAAGATTTTTCAGAGTTAGATATATATAGTGACATATTTTAAAATATCTATTCAAAGCCCCATTCGCTATTCTTCCTCCAGGCAATCCATACCATCTTGGTCCCTTGTGGGTGCATTAGAATGGATGCAAGGCCAAACATTTCATATGTGTTTGGTAGCTGTCAGTTAATTGCTAAATTGAAATTTTTAAATATAAGGAACTCTTTAAAAACATCATGATCTGGTAAGATTTATTCCAGCTGAGTGGGAAAATAATTGGAAATGAATTCATCTTGACTTAAGCATAATTATCTTTAGCCTTGGATTTAGAGACTTACATCTTGGGTCACTTACATGACCCA